TCGATCGTTAGGAGAGAGAGCATTGCTAATTTCAAACAGAAACAGAATTCGATGCTTGGAATGCAAAAGAGTTCGAATACCGTCCGCTACGATAATTATTTACTTTCTAGCTTTCGGTTTCGTTAACACTTTCGCTGCCGCGTTGTCCTTGCCGCGATCCTAATTTCATTAGGACCGGTAAGAATTTGTTGAAATTAGTCGTAAATCGTTGATTCGAATTAATTGTTAAATCAATTAAATGAAATATATATTTCGCGTGAAATTATCGCCTCGTAAGGCGATTCGAGACGACGAGGCTCGCGATTCCGTTTAGGCTTTTTCCGCCGTTTTTTTCTATCGAATTAAGATAGAAACGGCTCCGACGTCGTCGTCGATCGTCGACGACGATCCTTTCTCGTCACTGAACGTGTTAAACACGGCGCGCTCGATTCCCAGAGAAAACGGAGCAACGATAACGCGCGCTGATCACCTCGCCGCGCGGTCTTTTTAGACGGACTCTTTTAAAATTGCTCGTTTAACTCCCCGTACGATTCGCGCGCGTCATTAATAATTATCGATGTAATCAATTACGTCGTAATTCAATAGCAAATATATTATCACATTTAGATTGTATTAATGTTTAAGACATTCGGCCGGGACCGCCTTCGACAAATCTCGACGCCCGTCGACGACGCACTCTCTCTCTCTCTCTCTCTCTCTCTCGCTCGCTCTTTCTCTCTTACTTTCTCCCTTTCATTCTCCTCGGGTCTCGAGTAGCCTAAACACGACTTGGTCGCGCGTTAAATCGGTCGTCGATTAATATCGCCCCCGGGCGTACGTATAAGTGTACGCTCGCGGTATTCGTTTTTTTTCTGTTTTTTTTCCTTTTTACTTAGGCGCGAACTTTTTCGAAGGTCTTCTGAAATCGACCAACCAGGACGGCTCTTCTCGGTGGGATCATCGGTCCCGTCGGCTGGACTGTTTCTCGGAAACAGCGGCGATCGGGTCCGGGCATCCGATCGGCTCGAAGCACACTAATTTAACTGGCTCGTTATGCACACACACACATACATATATATATATATAATTTTATGTATATATGTATATATATATATATATTTATATTTATATATATAATATAATATACTTTTTTGTTTTTTGTTCGTTTTATTCCTGTCGAAAAATTCGTAACTCGTGCAATGTATTTTATTGCTTTCCGAGGTGTTCGCCGATTTGAGGACGATGATCCGCGAGCGGCCGCGGCCGGTCGTTCGTTTCACTTTAAATCTAAGAAACATTAATATAGAATATATTATTGTGTAGTTTATATAAGGTATACGTTAAGACACTTACCATCTACTGCAAAAATTCAACAGTTAAAAGATTGTAACAACTAGTTCGTAATTTTTATACAAGACGAGCTTGCTCGGATCGGCATACATACTTCGCGTTCCGGGAACATAGTTCGTTCGCTCTCGTTTTTTATTTCTTCACGCCGCGGTGGCCGACCAACGACGAAACGGAAGAAGAGAAGAAAACGGCGACTCTATTTCTCTCTCTCTCTCTTTCTCTCTTTTATTCTCTCTTCTTATGCCTTTCTTTCACTCTCTCTCTCTTTTATTCTCTCTACTTCTGCTTCTCTTTCTCTCTCTCTCTCTTTCTATTTTATTCTCTCTTCTGCTTCTCTCTCTCTCTTTTATTCTCTCTACTTCTGCTTCTCTTTCTCTCTCTCTCTCTTTCTATTTTATTCTCTCTTCTGCTTCTCTCTCTCTTATTCTCTCTACTTCTGCTTTTCTCTCTCTCTCTTTCTCTCTTATTCTCTCTACTTCTGCTTTTCTCTCTCTCTCTCTTTCTCTCTTATTCTCTCTACTTCTGATTTTCTCTCTCTCTCTCTCTCTTTCTATTTTATTCTCTCTTCTGCTTTTCTTTCTTTATTTCTTTCTCTCTCTCTCTCTCTCTCTCTCTCTCTCTCCCTGTTCTCTCATTCACTTAGAACGCTCCCTATTTCCGCCTAGCAATTCTTCTCCCAACGCGTTTCCCCGTCCTCCCTTTCCCCCGACAGTTTGGCACGCATTATTCATTTACTATTGGCACGAACAATGTACGAACAATGAGCTTGCTAGAATTAATTCGAATAAACCTCGGACGCACCTGAGATCGATCGCTCGGACAACACGATATAATTAAAAGAGCCTTCGCTACACGTATTATGCGACGTACGCTAAGACCGAATGCCAATTAATCGTTTTGCTCAGCTCGAGGAGGCTCTACGTCCGTTCACGAAAGGCAATTTTTCCTTAAAGCAACAATAGATCCGTCGGTACTGGGACAATATCGAGGCTACACGACCGGATCCGCATGGATTTCTTCGAACGGTTCCCCCGAAAATTTAACCGAGTGCGATTATGTAGTCGACTCCCGGATTTCTGTGCGAAATAAAAATTGCCTGCGTCGCGATTCCAAGACAGCGAAGCTGCACAGACGTTTCGTCTCATTCTTCAATTATTTTATCGACTCGAAAACGACGCAACGGTATTTTTAAATTCTTCAAACGTTTTCACCGATTTGAATTTAATCTGTTTATTTTACGCGTTTGTTGTAAAAAAAATTAGTAGACGTAATTTCAGACAAATTAAATATACAATATTTAATAATAAATAAATATTTAAATTAACACTTCCACGACCGCGCTAGAAACCTTAACAAATTTTCATAAGATTAAAATATTTCATTCGATTAAACAAAAATTATGAAGAAAACTTATATGGCATCGATAACTTCTTCAGCATTCGTACCTTTTGCAAATCTTAATAAAATTAAGCAATCATTTTTAATTTTTCATTAATCATTCATTCGGTCGCCAACCGACTGAATTTAAAACAGGGAGATCTCCCCGTTCGGTTGGCTAAATGTTAATATTTAAATATAATATATTATATATATATTATATATAATAATAATATATTATTATTATTATTATTATTAATATATTTTAATATGTATATATAATATATATTATGTATATATTAATATAATATAATATATATATATAATAATAATATAATATATATATTCAACATCGTTCGCGTATTGTTTTCAGCTCGCTAAAACGATCCAGGAAACGAAGGAAGTGCTCTCTATTCGGCTCTGGTGCGTTGCGAATTGATAAAAATAATGCGATAAAAATATTGATAAAAAATAATACGTAGCGGCAGGAACCGTTAAAGAAATCATAGACGGATATCCGGGTGCCCGGTTGCAAGCACGAGTCGCCGCGGACAGCGTCGATCCAGTTTATCGAATCTGGTCGCGGAACGTCCCGATTTGTCCCGCACAATTTCGCGACGCGTTTTCGAAAGTGTCCGCGATCCTGGGACGCGATTCGACGCACGGAAAAAAACCGTCCGGCGGACGGCGTTTACATATTAGGTCTAGTAATAATTAGTGTCGTTTCTTAGTGTTCGTTTAGAATCCTGCTTGCCGCTAACTTCGCCGACTGTCAATTTAATCTTGACATAACCTTGACATAACCTGCATATAACTTAACTATATCGTTGATTAAATAGTTTTGTTTAAATAAATTAGTTTTAACCCATTGACTGTAAATGCCATTGCAATATTATGTCAGTAACTTAATATTATTATATTTTGTAAAACTTCATGTTTTCCTTTAAAATAAAACCGTGGCACCCAGGGCAAGACGCGCGAAATTTTCGTGACGGTCGATGGGTTAAAAATGTATTGGAAGACGACATTAATTATTACTGTAGACCTGATATTTCGCGAGCGAAAGTAAAGCGAGATGATTCCGCGACACACCTTAACGGCTAAACAATCCTCTAAACGCGGCCGTGCAGGGCCGCGCCGGCTCTAAATGGAATAATGGAATCGAGCGGTTATCAAAAATAGAATATATCGTTAGAAAGTACGACAGACAACCGATATCGGTATACCAACAATCAACAACGTCGTCGCCGTCCCGTTACGGCGATCACGCCGCGGCGCGGGACAGCCGGTACCAAAAATATTATATCTCACGTAGGAGAACGTTGCATCCGCGTGCATATACGAAAGCCCGAAAAGAAACAAATGAAAGAGACGACGATCCTCCTCAGCTCCGCTCCCTCCCCTCCCCGTCTATATGTCCCGTTGCACGCATCCGCGGCCGTTCCAACGACGGAAATCCGCCGGGCAGCACACATGTGAAATTCAGCCGCGTAAAAAGTCCCGCGAACACGTTGCGTAAATCGTTATCCGAACGTGACAGGTTCGGTATACAGGGTGCTGCGCGACTCGCGTAGTAGTCGAGATCGCTTGCGAGGTCCTCGTTGTTTACGTTGTTGCCGGATTTTACTTCGTAGCTTACAAATATTTTCGTCTGCACGCGTTGGATATAATGCCAATGCTTGTAATTGAGTTTTTTAAACTCGACGTTGAGAACGTCAAGAGAACGTTGTTTTGGTTCTTTCATAGAAACGAATTCTGTTCGCTGGACAGCAATTTTTAGGCGAGAAAACGCGGGCACGAGGTTAATGTTTTTTTCTCTTTCGTTTCAGCGATTATTATCGTTCGGAATGGAACCATAGAGACAGTCATAAATATACAGAGTGTCCCAAAAATGTCTCACAATCCGAAAGTGGTGAGTTCCTGGGGTCATTTGAAGCAACTTTTTCCTTTACACAAATTTTCTCCGAGGCACAATTAACGAGTTATTAACGAAAAACAGTGACTAATGAGAGGCGAGCTCGGCTGGCGCGAGGCGACCGAGCCAATGAGCGCAACTGGACTTCGTGCGCTGGTTGGCTGGGCCGCCTCGCGTCAGTTTTTCGTTAATAACTCGTTAACGGTGCCTCGGAGAACATTTTTGTAAAGGAAGAAGCTGCTTCAAATGATCTGAGGAACCCGCCATTTCCAGATTGCAAGACATTTTTAGGACACCCTGTATTTCCGCGGACAAGCGTCTTCGATTTAACGAGGCCAACAATTTTCGATAAGTTTCTTCGTTAAATATTTTCGTGAAGAGTAGATGGCAGAACGATCACATCTGATCGACGCAACAACCGCAGCCTTTTATAGCTGGGAAATTGCATCTAAATCGATTGAACAACGAAAAATCGAGCGGTTAATAATAGTTCGATTATCAGGCTCGTAGCGGTGACGAAAGATCAATTCAATTGGCGCTTGAGAAAGTCGAAAATGTGTTCCAGCATGAACCAGGTAACGTGCGACGCGTTTTCAATTGCAGATAACGAGTTTCGCAGGAACAGTGCAATTATTTCTATTTGTAAATTCAGTTCCAGTTCGAAACATGAAAGAACCGGAATTATTTCGTCCAGGGCAATTACGATTTGCATAAGACTGAACTGCCGATCTATGACTAAGCATGAACTTTGCTTCTTTATCAATTGAAGGTTATGTGAGTCACATTCTTATGCTCTGACACATGTGGAAGTTTCGATCGACTTTGTGTCATCAAATATTTAGATTTCGTTGTACATACTTCTTTTAAATAAAATCCTATTAATAATTTATATATATATATATATCTCGTTGCAAATGTTACTAATTGTTCAAATAATTCTATAAATTCAAATTCTACAGGTTCGACAACCTCGACTATCGTATTGTCGCGAGAACAAGTTCTTGCGATGGAAACACGCATCTTTTTGTTCTTCGAGAACATTCGCAGCACCCTGTATATATTGTGGCATCGAAATACGCAAACAATAATTAGCAGATTCTGTAAAATAATTCCTGGCACGATTGATCAAATCTCGGACAGCGACAATGATCGAGGATCACGATATTATCTTTATTAGAACGAATGTGCTTTTCTAATTATTTGCCTAAAGTAATTTCTTGTTTCAATATTGTTCTCTTTTTTTTTTAAAAAAGATAAGCGTTGATGATTCAATGTTCTTGAACTCTGTATGTGTAGAATATCTCTAAGATTTTCAATTATTTCAAATAGCTGGAATAACAGTTGAAAAAATATAAAAATCTCTCTCTCTCTCTCTCTCTCTGACTGCATTAACCCACTGCACTATATTATAGTGATTATTAGACCGCGGAACTTTATGCAAAAAAACTGATTACATAAAACAGAAGTTACATAATAATATAGATTACTTTTGCCTGTTGATACAGTAAATGCAATGTTTTGCAGTATTTTTAACTTCTGGCGTCTTCGCTTATCTGTGCTTCATTTATCCATTTTTGTTAAAAATGCACAAAATCCGCAGTCAAACCGTCGATAAAAATTTCAAACAGAATCTGTTATTATCTCGATGTTAAGTCAACGTTATTATCAAAATGGAAATTCTAAACGAAAACAAAATCGAACTTGTCGATAGTTGATCGTTAGAGTCAATGCAGACGTACAGTAAACAACGTTTAACCCATCGTCGCAAGAATTTTTTAACGGCAAAGAACACGGTGCAATCGCTAAAAGAAGATATCGCATAACAAATATCGACTACTAGTACGAATACAAGATTCCTTGATCTGACCAATCGTATCCGGTTACGTGTCACGGTTTAGAGAAAATAAAGCTCCGATGAGAGAAAAAGATATTGGCGTATGCAATGGCGTTCGTAACACGTTGCGCGTCGAGGAGCATGGATCCCCTTTTCCCGTGCCTTTGTTATCTTTCCCTTAAAAACCGTTATCGACTAGAACGTAGTTATGATACATTAAAAATTGACACACATTTATGTTATATAGATTGGCCTCGGCCTTATCGCCTTCCCCATTCTCTTTCTCTCTCTCTCTCTCTTTCTCTCTTTCACAATCACTCAACCACCCACTCAGTCTCCTTCCTCTCACTCATTCATTCTTCCCCTCTCTCTCTCTCTCTCTCTCTCTCTCACTCGCTCGCTCGTTCGCTCTTTCTCTCTCTCTCTCTCTCTCTTTTCGTTTTACAGCAGAAAGTAGTACGGTAGAGTCGTTTGGGGACGGTGTTCGATCGTAAAGAGGAAAAAACTTGTAATCGTTAATTACTTATTCGATGTTAAGTGAGGAATAGAGTATAAAGCCAGAGTATTACGTAACGGGAACTCGCTTGCTTCGCTTGTTTGCTTCTCGCGTTCGCGCGCTCGGCAAACCTTTACAATTCGCTTTGGCTTAACACTTTCACGGCTTAAGTATTTAGTTGAGACAACATGGAAAAAGTTTGACGGTTCGTTGGAAAATCCTGCGTTCTGTACTGCTTCCTTTTCTCTCTTTCTCTTCTTCTATCGTTCTATTTTCTTTCTTTTTTTTTTACATTTTCCTGTTACTTTTCTTCCCTCGATCATCTCTCCTCTCTTCTCTCTTCTCCCTTATAGTTCGCACCATTCGCTAATGGTTAATATAAAAATCGTTAAATAATATGTAGTTTGGAAAGTATATCGTATATAGTGTATCGTTCCACGTTCAATTTTTTTTAGGCGGACACGATTATTGACCACAGCAGAAGACTTTCGAGCCTCTTATCGCTACCGCTATGAAATTCGATAAAATTCTCTCTCGACCTTACGCTTCTTCGAGCGCGTTAAACGAGCACGCGTGCGTCGTGCTTGCAACGCCGTCGTACGTGTTGTACGCTGCTGCAATCGCCCGACCCTTACCGTTTAAGAATAGTTTTTTCGCCGGCCTCTCGCGTATCGCACGGTATACAATTAGTATGTATGTACTGATGCCGGTTCGATAATCATAGGTAACGATAACAATGCATGCCGTTATCGATTTTTAACACGGTTAACAATCATAATTACAATCGGACAATTATAAATAGAGCCGGAGTCGAATACAGGAGGGCGCGACAGTAAAATTATGTTTGCAAAAGTAGCACCTTTCCCATAGGGGTGGAGATAACCCCGTGCTGCCGGTTCCGTTTCGTTGCAACCGCGTCGCCGAGAAATCTTTCCTCGACCTTTCGCTACGACAATGCAATTCTCGCGTTGTCCAAATTTTCGTGACAGTTGACAATTAATTAACCGTAGCGATGATCGGCAAACTCATTAGTCAACAGGGCCAAAAATATCAACGGTAGAAGAAAGATTAAAATTTCTTTTAAGAATCAAATTTTTTGAAGGTAAACTATATAGGTAGGTATATTGTTATTAACTTAATTAATTAATTAACAAAGGCCAGCTTAGGAGTTAAAGGCGTCGCCGAGAAATCTTTCCTCGACCTTTCGCTTCGACGATGCAATTCTCGCGTTGTCCAAATTTTCGTGACAGTTGACAATTAATTAAGCGAAGCGATGATCGGCAAAGTCATTAGTCAACAGGGCCAAAAATATCAACGGTACAAGAACGATTAAAATTTCTTTTAAGAATCAAATGTTTTAAAGTTAAGCTATATAGATAGGTATATTGTTGTTAATTTAATTAATTGATTAACTTCTAAGCTGACCTTTGTTAAAAAAAGGCCTAGATAGGTATATTGTTATTAACTTAATTAATTGATTAACTCCTAAGCTGGCCTTTGTTAAAAACGTCGTTAAAATCTGATCGAGATAGGAAGAGTTACACTCAAGGGGCCAAAGAGATTGAATTTTCTCGTACGCGTGAAGCAAAAGTTAAAAATAACCTCGATTACGAAGGAGAGATGGCGGAACAAGATATTTTCGTAGCGTTGCCGCTAAAGATGAAATTAGGCTAACAATCATGATACAACAGTGAAATAATAGAAAGATAAAGTAGGGTGAGTGTAAGTATTACTGCGGTTTCTCAATGAAGGCGAATTTTTACAGAGAAAATAAAACCTTTTATGCCAATAAATTTACTTGACATAACCTTGACATAACCTTGAGCGATTATTGAACTATTGTTCTTTAACTTGAATATTTACTTTTCTCAATGTATTGGATCTATGAAAGCACAAATTTCATTAAAAAGCGTGATGTAAAGAAACCACACGTGTGCATATATTACTGAGGCTATGTATCTGTTACTGCGAGCCAAATACTGCGGACGTTCCGAATACTGCGTGTCAAGGCAGACATAACCCAATTTCTTTTAAATGTACACACACACATATACAACTGCTAGGATCAAGATATTCTCACTGTAACACTTTACAAATTAGATATAGGTGCTCTGCGATCAAGCGTGTTCGCACCGGCTCATCGAGAACTGCGCTGTATAGGTTAAGGTGCGCAGTTCGGTAAAGCATTACAGTAATGTACACACATAGTAAAAATATACATACTAAAATAAACATAGTAAAATATACATAGTAAAAAGCTATGTGCCAAATATGTACTGTGCTAGCAAATAAGTTATTATATATTTTTTTGCCTAAATAATAATAAATAATAATAAATAATAAATAATAATAATAAATAAATAATAAATAATAATAATAAATAAATAATATAATAAATAATAATAATAAATAAATAATAATATAATAAATAATAATAATAGAATAAATAATAATATAATAAATAATAATAATAGAATAAATAATAAATAATAATAACAATAGTCGACTGTAAAAATCAGTTTGTCTGTCTTTCTGATATACTATATTACTGACTGCAGTAATGTACGCACATAGTAAAAAACTATGCGCCAAATACTGTGTTAGAATAATAATATCTGAGAATAGATGATATAGTGACAGTGCACGTCGACATTTTATCAAAGTAATAATTACTTTATCTAAAAATACAGCTAAAATGAATATCTAATTATCAATTACCAAAATATAAACGCCTTTCGAATCAGCATTCACAGCTGCCATTACAAGTATATTTCATAAGACTGATGACGAATGAATTAAAACTGCGATTGCTGTTACTTGTACGTCACAAATTATCAATACTAAACATATAAAAAAATTATGAAATAATAAAATACGTATAAAATAATAAAATACGTATTTAATGCGCAGTATTTGGAGCGTCCGCAGTAATACCCACACTGACCCTACCAAGTATAAAACAAAAAAAGGCAAATCCCAAGATTGCCATAATTACCATCAGTCTTGTTACGCCCCTTCCAGGGGGACATCCGAATATAAAGAGCAATTAAAGTTTACAAGTTAAAGTTACAAGAATCGGTGCAATCATAATCACACCGAGGTACATAGGGTCAAATAGGATGTCGCGTAAATCAGAATTCGTACAGATCGCACAAATAAGAAACTGTTGATCCTGAAATTGCCATGATCGCCGGCGATCTTTTGCCACGTCCCCTCGACGGAGTTACTTATGCGACCCTTACGAATACATAAGGTCATTGACATAACCTTACGAAGGCTCGAATTTTCTAGTATTCCAAGAATCGGCATGAAATCGCGAGAAAATTAGTTCGCGCGTCGGATCACGACGCGTCTCTCTTTCAGCTCGCGATCGAAGCGGCTAATTGCGAACCGCGGCAGCACGAGCGTATCTCCCGGCCATCGGGATAGCAGTCTTAACGATCGCCGTATGCACTTCCGTTCCGAGTGAACGGCGACCGACGCGTAAGATAAACAAAGGACGAAGACACGCCGCCGTCTAGCGTTTTCCTACTTTCAGTCTTCCTTCTATAATTCCAGTCTACGATTCTAGCACCATTGCGCAGCTTTATATCGTCGTTCGTTATCGTCGTCGTACCAACGAGCGAATCCCGATAATTAAAAATCGACTAATATATAAGAATCTCGTTAGAATTTAAAGATTAGATTATTACATCATATCGACGTTCGCATGCAATTCTCTACGGTGACTTCTTGGCTAAAATTAGTAACGGCGAACCTGGTCGTCCCCGAGATCGGAGGTCGCGACGTTCGTTCTCTCGGTGCGCATACTTTCATCGTCCGCGCGCCTCGGACATCGGACATTTCTCGTGTCTTCCTTCGTCGGTGCGCCCCGCCGGTATTTATATGTATATACAACATCGCGTTCGTGTGATAAAGCTTTTTTTCGTATAATTGCAAAGTAATCGTGAAACACTGGTTTGAAAACACGGAGTGTTCGTCAACCCCCGATCGCTCGTCAACCCCCGTCACGAATTCAGCTGCCCGAGAGGCTGACTCGAGTCTTCGTACAAGTTCGCAATGGGTGTTGTTGTGTTAATTCGAGTACCATCGACTGTATTAACCCTTTCGGTACGAGCGCCGGATATATCCTGCACCCATCTGGTCACCTGTGTGGCCGAGCGCCCATATCCGGCACCCATCTGATGACCGGTATGGACGAGTGCCGAATACATACATCTGGCATTCATGCGAGTCATATTTCTGACATGTTAGAAATTATTCTAATAACCGTCTGAGCCCCAAGCAGTGCGATCGCGCTGTTCAGATCTTGCGTCGCGATCAAACTTTAGCGACCCGCGTACATCGCATAGCTGCTTTGTTTCATTCTTTTTTCTTTTTGCTTTGTTTGTCGATCTTGACGAGCGCCATCGCGCCGCTTGATTCTCTTCGCAATCGATTAAGACAAGCGCGCTATCACGCTGTTCGGCATTTTTCGACCGTATTATTTTCTGATGATCCCATATTTTCTGAACAATCCCTAGGACTCAAACGAATAAAGTCTTTTTTTACAAGGATTCCGAAAAAACAGCTACATGAATAATCGTCGTTTGATCTGAATTGATTTAAAAAATTTCGGGTTACATTTTTGTTCGAAACTTGTTCATAGATTTGAACATATTGTAGGCCCTTTACAGAATGATTACGGGAAACAAAAGATTTAGGAACGGATTAAGCACGGTTATTACTTAACGCTTATGAAAATTTTCGTTCAAAAGTGGACTGACCCTGTCCTATGCGCGCATTTTCGGCGCAGCATCCTGTATAGTGGGAGTGTCACGGCGGGCAGCGCGCTCGTACCGAAAGGGTTAATTTAGAAACGTGCATTTTAACCCTAACCGCGTACGACGACCATACGAAATTCGTCGGACGAGTTACTTTTTCGTGTCCCGTCTCGGTGTTTCTTTTTTTTTCTCTACTTGGCGTATAATTTTCAGGAAAACGCTGCTTGTACTTGTTCTGTACCGTCCAAAGAGTGTTCGGTAATTTTTGTGACACGGAACAATGAATAGTTTAAGCGTGACAGTCGTTCGAAGTTGTTCCGCGTCTCTCGTTTTTTCAATTTTTACGAATTATGTACAATGAAGGATAATTGACTGGCGAATCGAATTTACGGCTATCTTCACCGATGGTTTTTTGCTTCGCTAGCTGCGACATACTAAGAATTATTGTGCACAATCGTTGGTCGAACTAATTTATGGATCGGTTGAAAACATTGTCGAACTTGTTGAAACCGGTCGAAAGCTGAAAGTTCGATGCTGTCGCCGCCTATTACACCCCTGTTATAATAAAGTTTGAGAATTCTTCGTCGAATTAAATTGCAACGTTTTGTCAATACGTGTGCTTTTTTACCGATAGAACTATCTTTCCGACTTTGTCGGTTTGAACGACATCGAACTACAGTAATGTCTCCCTTACTGACGCTCAGGTTGTCCACAAAAATGGACAATTTTGGAACGAGGAGATACGATTATTCGAGCCTTGCGGCTCGTTTCTATAATTGTTGAAAATCGGTAATTACAAAAACAAGGCGCAAGACTCAAATTAATCGTATCTCCTCTTCCAAAATTGTCCATTTTTCTCCACAATCTGAGCGTCAGTTAGGGAGACATTACTGTATTTCTGTGGACCATCTGAGCGTCAGTAAGGGAGACATTACTGCAGTCGCAAACCGATCTCCGAACGGTTCTCCAAATTGTAATTCGGCTCTCGGGGCAGCTGGGCCGACTCGTGACGGTACCGATCAGGTTCGCCAATGTAAAACCGCCTCGACAATTTTAATACCTAGGTCGCAGTATTGACAAAGTTAGGACGTGTGTGACGACGATCCGCTCCCTTCTGCCGAGTTGCTTCGCTAGTTGGTGGACTCCGAGTTGGAGGACGGCGAGGATTCCGGGCTCTGGACCAGCGGTGTGTCCCTGCCGATCATGGGCGTGAGCAGCATGCCACGTGGACTGAACGTGTCGCAATAGAGATTCTCCTTTTTGTGGACGCGTCGCACGTGGCTTCGCAGGTTGTCCCGGCGAGCGCTTCTGTACGCGCAGTGCGGACATAGGTGCGGCTTCTCGCCCGTGTGCATGCGTCGATGTTGAATTAGCTGCAACAACAAGCACAACCGTTCATTCACAATTCCTCCGTGGTATAATTTCATCCCGATACCTGCACATTTTCGTTTCGATAATACCGTGCTTTACGAACTTCGAAAGCGTAGCTTCCAAAATATTTTATTATTTGTTATTATTATAATAGTTTATTATAATAATAATAATATAATATTTATTATATTATATAATTATATAATAATTATAATATTAACTAATTATTAGATAATATTTAATGATTTGTTATTATTATAATAGTATTATTACTATTACTATTACTATTATTACTATTATTATTATTACTATTATTACTATTATTATTATTATTGTTATTATTATGACTCGTAATTAATATTATTATTTGAATATTAGCTACGATATTTTATCACTTATGCGTCAGAGGTATACTTATTGTTCATGCGGTGGAGATCGCGAGTGATTCAGTGTTGCCAAGGTTAATGGCCAAGTTTCAGTTGTAAAATGTTCATTGTTTCCGTCATATTGGACATTATTTGACAAAAGGAATTTTCTATTTTTACGATACAGTATTACAATGCATTTTATAAATATGCATATATAAAATCACGAAGATGGAATGTTTTTCCGTGCAACATTGTCGCAGCGGCAGCTCAAAAATAACCCTGGAATTATCAAACTGATCAAAATGATTGCTTCCTGATTTTTGCTTCCACAGTTACAGTAAATTCTCCTTAATATAATAATAATACAACCTAACAAAAATCGACAATTTTTGTTAGGTTGTATATTGTTATTATATATATATTTTTGCAATTTATAAAGTTAATGCTTCACATAAAATAATCAGACATAGACAGGATTTTGTTTTAAAATTCATTGCTCGATGCAAATTCGTTAATATTTGCAGAAAATATTTGCAGACCTCTGACGTCACATTTGTAAAAAAAATCGATATTAATAACATTGAAAACAAAGAACGATAATGAAAGAAATTCTATTTCAGAGAACATCGAGGATTTGCTTGCAATAAAAGAACGTGACTTCGAGACGTTATCATAATACAGTAATGTCTCCCTAACTGACGCTAAGATTGTGGAGAAAAATGGACAATTTGGGAAGAGGAGATACGATTAATTTGAGTCTTGCGCCTTGTTTTTATAATTACCGATTCTCAACAATTATAGAATCGAGCCGCAGGGCTCGAATAATCGTATCTCCTTTCCCTAAATTGTCCATTTATGTGGACAATCTGTGCGTCAGTTAGGGAGACATTACTGTAGACAATTTGGGAAGAGAAGATATGATTATTCGAGCCTTGCAACTCGTTTTTATAGTTACCGATTTTCAATCATTATAAAAACGAACTTGAATAATCGTATCTCCTCTCTCTAAATTGTCCATTTATGTGGACAAACTGAGCGTCAGTTAGGGAGACATTACTGTAGACAATTTGGGAAGAGAAGATATGATTATTCGAGCCTTGCAACTCGTTTTCATAGTTACCGATTTTCAACAAGTATAAAATCGAGCCGCAAGACTCGAATAATCGTATCTCCTCTCCCTAAATTGTCCATTTATGTGGGCAATCTGTGCGTCAGTTAGGGAGACATTACTGTAGACAATTTGGGAAAAGAAGATATGATTATTCAAGCCTTGCAACTCGTTTTTATAGTTACCGATTTTCAATCATTATAAAAACGAGCTTGAATAATCGTATCTCCTCTCTCTAAATTGTCCATTTATGTGGACAAACTGAGCGTCAATTAGACATCACTCTATCCGCGGAAACAATATAGACGATGCGTTTGCTTACGGTAAACTATGATACTTCCATTGAAACTTTTGTTTAAATTCCTTTGACAGGATCGATCCACCGCGAGATACGTACGTATACATATAATGTATATGTATCTCGGGGGACAAAGGAAACGCTTAGTGCAACGTAGGACCTTGAACAGAACGGTCACGGAATAACCAACACAGAGCGCCGGGCGACAGTTTATCCGTTAAACCTTTCCCATATTAACAATATAAATACGATCGGGTAGAGGTCCTGTATCGATTCCCGATACATTCGAGGATCACCGGTCGCCGGATCGCAGGCGGGCGGCGTTTACACAAAGCGGAACATTTGATTTAAGGTTGACACGGAATACATCCAGGTGTACAACATAGTCTACAAAATTGAAAGGGCCGAGTAGAATACCGTAGAATTTACGATCAGCCGGGGGATTATACGAGCCGTGGCAGAGATAGAAATCTAGAAACAATCCGAGCCCGTAGATTATACTGGCCGCTATATTTTTCAATTCTACGGGAATTCAATTGGCTGACGGCGTCTCTCCGACGCGCGCGCGGGCGTCGGATACACGGGACGGGGCGGACGAAAAATATTACCTTTTTCAATTGAACCGTGCGGAAAATGCAAATGTCGCAGCAGAAGTATCGGTCGTCGCGGTGCCTTCTCATGTGTTTGCTGAGATCGACCTCCGAGGATCTGTCCGCTCCGCAGACAGCGCAGCTCACCCTCGTCTCCGGCGCTGTGCCCTTCGCGTGTGCCCTCAGATGCCTTTGGAACGCCTTCTCGATGGTGCAGGCGTACGAGCACAGCGAGCAACGATACTCCTCCCTCTCGTATCTGAGCAGTCGGATCGCACCATAAGTCGAATTTTACGAAGCGTCGGCCGGCTTATTTATTTATTTATTTATTTAGTCAGACGCGCGGCAACGGTTTTTAAGTAAACTTGTGCTGTGTGTTAAAGATTGAATTTTGCTTGCTGCCGTTTTACAATAATTATGGAAACGTGTTTACTGTTTTCAGGAAGGTGACGCGTATTTTTACGAGACTTTGGTGACACGTTTCAACCCCTTCATTCTCACCCCTTAGTTCTCACACCCCTTCAATATTTTAATTCGAAACATTTTTCTCATGTCTGCGATTTTATATTAATGTTTCTCTTATAAATCTTGATTGTTTTAATCGTGACACTTTATTCATATCTGGAGCTTCTTTTTTATGATAACGTTCTTTTTACGTAATCCGATATGTTAACTATAACACTCTTTAATTTTCCATAACATTTTTCTTGCGGCCTCTGATAATTTAATTCTAGCATTTTTTTAGCCTCTCTCATTTTCATAATGTGTAATATATCTCATGTAATTTTGATTATTTTTACTTCGAACAAATTCATCATGTACTCTTTAATTTTTCATAACATTTTTCTTGCGGCCTCTGATAATTTAATTCTAGCATTTCTTTTACACCCTTTAATATTTTGATAATGGTTCTTTTGAATGGAATATACCTCACGTAATTTTGATTAATTTTGCTTCGAACAAATTCTCCATGTACTCTAAATATTTATAAATATATCTGTCAAACTCCGATGCTAAAAGTTCAATGGAATCTTTTAAAAAGAATTCGCAAAGATTGCTTGGAAAATGGCATTCCAAGTCAGAGTAAATTCTTAACAAAGCAATCGATAGACTGAGGTGTTTTATGCGTGTATGACCAAACTGATTGGATTAGGTCAAATGCAAAACTACAAATAGCTTAGAAGAATTTAAGGATGACATACTGATGATATAGCATTGTTATACTATTGTTATACTATTCCCGAGTTTTACATCGATTAAGAGGTGAAATATATTTTTGTTTATCTTATACTCTCTCTAATTAACATCGACGATTTTTATTTTGCATAAAGATCCACAGTCTATGCATTTATTAGCCTATTATGACTAAGACTGCGAATTTAACGCACTTACGAAAAATCAGTAGAAATCAGTAGAAATATATAATAGTGAAAATATCAGTCGAATTTAACCACATTGTTAAATTATTTCCAACTTTCTTAGTACTGTTAAAGGAAGAAATATATTCTCATTTAACTTTATATTTCCACCATTTAACATAAACAATTTTTATTATGCACGAATATTCGCAGTCTGGATATCAGGCTGATATTAATATTGACGCGGTTGTCGATCGGCGAGCGCTGATAAAAATTTACAGAAAAATTTCAAGTACCTATACCTGACGCGTTGCAATGCCAGTGTTCGTTTCTTCCCGGTCGGTGTCATGCCCTGTGCCACGTGCGCGGCCACGTGGGTCTCCATTTCGCACCTGCTGCTCGTTGTGAAGTCACAGCCCGTGGACGGACAACTTTTTGTTTCTCCTGTTTCCGTGCTAGTCACGGGTGGATGGCAATCGACAATATGCTTTCGTAGGGCCGGCCTCGTCGGCGCGACAACGTCACACGAACCGCACGAGTATCCGCGATGAGCGTTGCTCACGTTCGGACTGCTTCCTCGCGACCTGCAAATCATCGCATCGAGTTATCACAATTTTTTCGCTGCGATGGCGACACGTGATCGACGACCGAAGAAGAAATTAACCCTTTGCACTGGAAGCTATTTCAACTGAAAATATAAAATTATTTTTCTAACTCACGCTATTTCTTGTTTGGACACTAGGGCTACCTAAACACGACCAATGTGTACTGTTATAGTAACTATTACTATATAGTACTATTATATTGGGTTGGCAACTAAATAATTGCCGATTTGTTCAATGAAATAAAAAATTTTTTTTTACTTGGAACGGAGTTTAATCTGTAATGTATTTTCCATTTTGTTCGATGACCTTTTGCCATCTCTCTGACAACTTGAAAATTCCACGCTCGTAGAAAGTTTGATCCTTTTCGGGCAAAAACTGAGTTAAGTGAGATTTTACAGCGTCATCATCATTAAAAGTTTTACCACGAAGGGAGTTGTCCAGGGATCAAAATAAGTGGTAATCCGATGGCGCGAGATCAGGGCTATATGGTGGGTGTAACATCAATTCCCGACCAATATCCATCAATTTTTGCCGAGTGGACAAAGACGTGTGCGTCCTAGCATTGTCCTGGTGGAAAATGACACCTTTACGATTGACCAATTCTGGTCGCTTTTCCTTGACCGCTGCATTCAATTTGTCCAGTTGCTAACATTCACGGATAATAAAAAATAACATAATAATAATAATAATAATAATAATAATTTTATAATATAACATTTACGGATATCATAAAAATGGGAGTGAGAGACATCGGCAATTACTTAGTTGCCAACCCAATATGCCAACCCAATATATTAACACTGGTCTCGTTGTAACAATTCCGAACTTCTGCATCGAATAGACTCTAATAGGCGACATTTTTTCACGTTGAGTCAGTTATACGTGGCTGGCACTAATTTTCAACTAAGTTTCGAGATTCATTTTTATCGTAATACATTTGAACAGGTTGAATAATGCTAGGATTTTTAGTATTCAAAAGCATTGAACTGATAGCTACCACAGTAAATTCTAAATTTGGAGTTCGGTTGCATTAATTAAATGCCTTTGATGTAATGGCAATTTCTGTGCTTGATATTTGGCATAACGTTATAATACATTAATTGCTGTGTCGGTCGAACATGAACGCTATTAATTTTGATACAATTCATTTTTGTCACAACATCTTTGTTCGAATCGAATTTCGTTAGGTTGCGTTGGCCCTGGAATGTTTAAAGGAATAATCGCTACGATAAACTTTCATTATACAGTGTCACTCTAAAATGGCTTTCATTTTATGTATTTTCTCGGGATGGAGGCTCGGCAGTCAACACGTTAACCATTTGCGCTACGATTTCTTTCACAGCTTCGTTGGTTAGCACTTCTCCATCGTTAACCCCCTACCGTACCATTATCTTCACAGTCACAATGATTATGGCTTTTCGATTGCGATGATTTCTTAGAAAGAAAAGAAAATTTATATTAAAAGAACGGAACAACATTCGTATTTAACAGGTTCCGTGCCGATCATCAACCACTAAAATCCCCACAAAGTTGATGCAATTTAATTAGTCAAACCTTAAACTATATAGTTAAGATTTATCATAGCGAATGACATTAGAAGTCTTTCGAATACGAAACATCCTAGTCGAATTCAGTTTGTTCGAATGTATTGCAATGAAAATTAATTTTCGAAATTGATAAAAAATTAGTGTCACCCATATTTGACCGACAGGACGCTCAACATGTTAACATGTTCCGTGTCGAGCTGATTTTACTCGACTTTTCACACTGGTCAATCGATATATCACTATAACTTGGTACATTATATGGTACATTATATATTAATTATCGTATATATAACAATTGAACGAGATCGAGATCTATCTCTATTCTTGTGTGGTGGAAATTAATTCTTCAGTTCTAACTTTGTTATAAACTATTTCTTTGGCATACACGTGGCACGGAACGTGTTAACAGATTATTACTAGATTAGATTACTAGATTAGATTACATCGTCACTCATAGTCGTCAAAGTATGGCAAAGAATTAATAATTTCCCTAATAGAACAAGACAATTTTTGTTTCTCATACGTCTCGATTTATTGGGTTGGAAACTGAGTAATTGCCGATTTGTTCAATGAAATAAAAATTTTTTTTTTACTTGGAACGAAGTTTAATCTGTAATGTATTTTCCATTTTGTTCGATGACCTTTTGCCATCTCTCTGACAACTTGAAAATTCCACGCTCGTAGAAAGTCTGATCCTTTTCGGCCAAAAACTGAGTTAAGTGAGATTTTACAGCGTTATCGTCATTAAAAGTTTTACCACGAAGGGAATTGTTCAGGGATCGAAATAAGTGGTAATCCGATGGCGCGAGATCAGAGCTATATGGTGGGTGTAACATCAATTTCCAACCAATATCCATCAATTTTTGCCGAGTGGACAAAGACGTGTGCGGCCTAGCATTGTCCTGCTGGAAAATGACACCTTTACGATTGACCAATTCTGGTCGCTTTTCCTTGACCGCTGCATTCAATTTGTCCAGTTGCTAACATTCACGGATAATAAAAAATAACATAACAATAATAATAATAATAATAATAATTTTATAATATAACATTTACGGATATCATAAAAATGGGAGTGAGAGACATCGGCAATTACTTAGTTGCCAACCCAATAGTAAGGAAGATCGTAGATTTTCTCACAGAAACGTTTCTTTGATCTCGGTACAGCAAATTCTCCCTAACTGACGCTCAACTTGGAAACGAAAATGGTCAATCTGGGAAGAGGAGATTCGATTATTACATTATTTTTATATTAACATATTTTATATGATTATTGTATATATTTTTATAGTTATTAATTGTCAACACCTATAATAACTATAACAACACTACTCAAATTGTCCACTTTTGTTTCCAAGCTGAGCGTCAATCAGCATGAATTTACTGTAATTGTGCAAGCAAAAATCAGGAACCAATCATTTTGACAAATTTGATAATTACAGGGTTATTTTTGAGTTACCACTGTGACAATGTTGCACATATAATTCGTAATTTTATAAATATTATAAAATGTACTATAATAGTGTATTGTAAAAGTAGGAGATTTCTTTTGTCAAATAATGTCAGTATGACGAAAACAATGAACATATTATAACTGAAACGATAGCTAAACTATTTTGTAGCTGCTCTATTTCTGAAGACAGAAACGATCGATTCTATAGCATCCGTGCACATATATTTTTCTAAAACAGTCCGAACTATTATAATCCTAGAAACAAACACTAATTTTCCCCGAACACAGGTAAACAATTTGATCATAATTTCTAGGAATTTTTAAACTTATCCATAAAATCTGCAGAAACGCTTAGTATCATTTACCTTCCACGTACATCTAACGATTAATTGTTTGGATTGCTCGCAAATATTGATCACACTGTAAAAAAATCCCTATTACAATATTTATCGTGAAACGAAACGGAACCAGCACACCGACCAGCGAAGCAGAGCAGCCACCGATAGTTCGTCCGAGCTATGCATTCCGTTTTACCGTGGACCAGCAAAAACCGCGCGGTTCGACGTTTATTCAAAAAAAATTCCCCAATCGCGGCGGTGTACTATTAAAAAAGTATCCGAAATTTCGCGATCGGTACTCGCGAAGCGTCCATAACTCAGGGGCAATCCAATATCCTCCGACTGCTCTGATTTACAGCGTGATTTATCTTGGATGTTTGAAGTATCAGAAACGAATTCGAACGAAACGCATGATTTGTCCTCGGGCTCGACAGATTCGTCGCTTTCGTACCATCGATTCTGCGGCCGGCCGAATAAAACTCCGCAACTTATAACGATTTTCTTTCGTTCCCACTGATCGCTGTGATTTTCCGTCGGCCCGGCTTTGACTTAATCTACGAACATCGTTCGGTCACCGTGGCCCGTCACCGACCGTTTCAAGATCATTCTGCATCGCTTGCTGGTCTATTTCGACAATTTCGGCCATAATAACTTTTCGATTACCTAACAAAAATTCTAACGTGAAATGAAACTTCATTCACGAAATAGCAAACAACGCTTCGAATCAAATATAAACTAATGGAACAGTGGAAATAATTATCCTGTATAACGTTAAAATTATGATATATAATATAATATATATTATATTATACGTATAATTATATAATATATAAGGTATCCCAAAATTATGGTACTTCCGGGAAACTAGAGATTACTGAGGTCATTCGAAGCAACTTTTTCCTTTAGAAAAATTTTCCCCGAGGCTTCGTTTACGAGTTATTAACGAAAAACACTGACCAATGAGAGGCGAGCTCGGTTGGCGCGAAGCGGCCCAGCCAACGAGCGCGCGAAGCCCAGTTCCGCTGATTGGCTCGGCCACCTAGCGCCAGGCGAGCTAGCTCCTCATTGGTCAGTGTTTTTCCTCAATAACTCGTAAACGATGCCTCGAACAAAATTTTTGTAAAGGAAGAAGTTGCTTCGAATCACCTCAGGAACTCCTCATTTCCCGGAAATACCATAATTTTGGGAAATCCTGTATATATAATTTTACTTTATAAAAATTGCCAGAGAAACGTTAATGCTATCAATTATGGTAATTTAATGCTTATTGTCCGCTCAAGTTAATTCGTGTATCCAAAAACTCTATTTATAAACATTGCAATAAAACAATAATAATAATTATAACTACTATATCGAGTGAAACAGTTTCACCGAGATAATAGAATTGTTTCTATGAGAAATTTTTCGATAAACTAATGAACGCTTAAGCCGCCCGTTAAAACGATTGTTATTTAATTCCCCGAATTTGCTACCTTGTTTCGCTACTAAGTTCACACAACTCGTTCAACAAACATCTGAATAAAAGTCGAACGCGCTTAAAATAAATTAAATCTCGTCACTGTCGTAAAATAATGCACATCGGTCGCGTTTAGGACACGATAATTCTAGTATCGCGTAAAATTCGATGGAATGATGTCGCTGCGATTTCTCCGGAACAAAAATTTGTCAATTTCGTAGCCGAACCGTGCAGCCGCTTTTGAAAATTTCTCGATTTAGGAACCACCACGTGTAATTAATGGCCGAGCGGGAAGGGATAATTGGTTATCGATTGCATACTTCTCGGTGTAAGACGAGTGTTCGCTCTCCGAGTCGCTGTCGGAAGGGATGTTCGGTATTTCTGTGGCCTCGAGAGCCGCAGTGGCCGCCGACAGTCTTCCAAGCATGGCGGTGTACGCGCCGAGGACCCAGCCATTTAGAACCGGCGTGACGGTCCCTTCCTGTTGTTCAACAGAAATTTGTATTGTTACAGGTTATTCGAACGATTCGCCTGCCAAAAGATGCGTAATTTAATGTATAATACACGTAATCTAATCGAGTTAATTCGTGTATCCAAAAGCTCTATTTATGAATACTAATATTATTAATATAATATATTATTATTATTATTATATTAATATTATTACTAATATAATATGCTATTATTATTATATTAATATTATTACTAATATAATATATTATTATTATTATATTAATATCACTACTAATATAATATATTATTATTATTATATTAATATTATTACTAATATAATATATTATTATTATTATATTAATATCACTACTAATATAATATATTATTATTATTATATTAATATTATTACTAATATAATATATTATTATTATTATATTAATATCACTACTAATATAATATATTATTATTATTATATTAATATTATTACTAATATAATATATTATTATTATTATATTTATATTATTATTAATATAATATATTATTATTATAATATTAATATTATTATTAAATTATTATTAAATAACAATAATAACTACTATATATCGAGCGAAACAGTTACCGAGATTATACAGGGTGTCCCAATAATGTCTGGCAATCCGAAAATAAATGGACAAAAGTTCCGAAAGTATCGAAGTGGCTTTCGTGAAATAGATTGACACCAAAGAATTCTATCGAGAATTCTATCTTTCGAGAAACCCGATTAAAAGGACTTCGTTCTAATATCTATGTCGTTAAATAATTAATCATTCTAGTCTATTATATTGTATTTTATTTTGAGATGCATTTAATCGATTTCGTGTTGCACTCGTTTATAAATCACTCAGCGCGCAGGTATTGTTCGATCGAAACTGGGAATACATATACACAATCATTGGAAGGCTATTTCAGCGTATAATTAAAAATAAAAGACAGTGTCTTAGGTATGTATAATATATCGGATGAATGTTCGACGAAATGGCTGTTCGAGTATTTTGAGAAGTATTTATTGAAGCAATAAATGGCTTTAATTTAAACACGCACGAAAATGTATTGGTACGATTTTTAGTGCTTTTAATACGATGAAAACAGCATAAATATCTTTCGTTATTTTATAACTTATGAAAATTGTGACACTGTTCATTTCCATGATAAAATTGTGATTGGGAATTTTTATGCTAAATAATAATTATCTGCTGTTCAATAGCGGTTGAAAGCAACGTAACTGTATTTCCAATGTCACTTTTTTGTTTTCATTGCCATCTATTAATTTTTATTATAGATGCATAAAATATATTTTGCTGCATGTAAAACAATTCAAGTAATTCACCAGGTAAACACAATTATACGATATACGACATATACGACGATATATACGACACAGAAAAAGTAACAAAATTGAAAATTACAAGTAATTTCTGCTACCATTAGTAATAATTTTTGGATATACATACAAAGTGTCCCAAAAATGTATCGCAATTTGGAAATGGGAGATTCCTGAGGTCATTTGAAGTAACTTTTTCCTTAGCGAAAATGCAATCCACGGCTTTGTTTACGAGTTATTAACGAAAAACCGTGACCAATGAGAGGCGAGCTCACGCTAGGCGGCCGAGTCAATCAGCGGAACCGAGCTTCGACTGCTCATTGGCTCGGTCGCCCGCGTCAGCCGCCTAGCGCTAGGCGAGCTCGTCTTTCATTGGTCACCGTTTTTCGTTAATAACTCGTAAACAAAGCCACGGATTGCATTTTCGCTAAGGAAAAAGTTGCTTCAAATGACCTCAGAAACCCGCCATTTTCGGATCGCGAGACATTTTGTGGAACACCCTCTATGCATGTAATAAATATACATATATGGTATATTCGATATAATTTCAGAAATAATTCACTATTTCCGATACATGTCGAATTCTCCGAAGGAAGTCCGGCGTATCGCAAAGATCGGTATCGAATAAACGATTAACGTCTGAAAGCAGCGAGCCGCGGTGATGGAAACGGCGAGAAGTCGATCAACGGTATCACGAAATCTTTAATAAGAAAGTCGATAAGCCCGCGGATAGATTAGCGGCGTGTCCGAAAATGCCACCGGAACGAAATGATTTTCAATCAATTTGCGTCCGGTCGATCATTTTACGAGCGGATTAACTCTGATGCCCCGGCGACGATATTCCCGTCTATTTTTTCACATTAATTGGCAATTACTCGGTTCCATTCTTCTTTTAGAACCGAGCCCCGCGGAATCGATGAAACTGGAAACGTACCTTATCGAAAGCAAGGTAAGCCATCGGATCGAGCAGCTTCGCCGGAAGATTATTGTTGGCCGAGCGATGGGAACTGTTTGTACTTCCGCTGTCGCTTTCTTCCCCCGCGTCTTCGTTGTCGTTGTTTTCCTTCGAAACTGAGGTCTGTACAGAACGAGAGAAAAAAAAGGAATCGATTAGCTTCTTAATGGAAATTTTAACATAAACCTTATGCATTTTCATGCATAATTTTCATGCCTCCCCAATTGTCGTTAGGCTTGTAAACTTTATTAGCTTGTACTTTATTTCAAAACTTAATTCACTTCTGTGTTAACTATTGTAAATTATTTATTCGTACGAAATTTAACCTCGAGGAACAAACTTTTTATTAATACATATTTCGTTAAAAGATATGACTCGTTTTATAATAATTCCTTTACTTGTTTATACGATAACATTTATTCCTTCGGTTATGTTTATATTGTTTAGAAATTTCGAAATTTTACTCGAGGAACAAATTTTTTATTAATACATATTTCGTTAGAAGATATGGCTCGTTTTATAATAATTCCTTTACTTGTTTATACGATAACATTTAATCCATCGGTTATATTTATATCGTTTAGAAATTTCGAAATTTTACTCGAGGAACAAACTTTTTATTAATACATATTTCGTTAAAAGATATGGCTCGTTTTATAATAGTTTATACAATAACATTTATTTCTTTGGTTACATTTATATTGTTTAGAAATGCGAATCAGTTTATATATTTATATATCATATGAAAAATTGATAACTGAAAATCTGATTAGATCCACTGAATTATGATTTAATATCATGTTACAAGCAGTTTCCTTCGAAACCGCTGTAAAGACATCGACTTGCAATAATAAATACCGTTGCAATGATAAATTGCGCGAAATTTAACTGCCGTGAAAATCACATCTGAGACCACAGCAAAATGTATTTATGCATCATTTACACGCGTCGCTCTTTATATTGTTATAAATTAAAAAGCCTCCTGGATTGGTGAATCCAATAACTGGCATGATTTACGGGCTAATGGCGAGCATTGTTCATGCTATGGCCGTCGTGAACGCATGAACGCACGAATCACGCTACCAATGGCAAACGAGTGGAACAAATTGCACTGTCGCGTTTTAATCAGTCCATTCGGCTAAGATGTTGATAAAGATAGATTGACTCTTCTGGCCGCAGAGATGTTTAGTCTCGGACATTGTTATGGTAAAAGAACCGGCTTGAAAGATTTCTTTCATTCTATCGTTCGACTGTCCCGACGTATCGATGCTAATCGGACGAAATAAAGCGAGCCTGATTTGAGAACTAATTAAGCATCAAAAGATGCACGATTTTCAGAATTATGCAATTGACCATTATCAGCTTCCAACAGCTTAGATATCTTTGAAAGTAATTCTTGTCGTTTTAATAGTATTTCCGTTGTTCCTAGTGTAACAGAAATTTATCTTATTTAATCGCCGGACGTTGAGTAATTATACGACGCTTCAAATCTTGTAATTAACCAGCTGTTGCAAACTCTTCGAAAACCGTAACAAAACGTTTAATATGAATTCAGTTGCAATGGAGTGACCGTTTTATTTTTTAATTTTATTACCAACAGTTATTAACTTCTTAATTGTAATAGCGCAACAGTTACTTTTTCCTTATTTTATTATCGTCAATTATTTGACGATATATTATTTATTCTTTAATTTTACATTTAACTTAACCAGTTAGCTGTTTTTACACTCGTCGCAACAAAAAATGTTGTCACTTATTCTCGTTGAAGACAACTAACCGCTTGCCGCGTTTTGTGTCATCGAACAATTTTTTTCGGCGAAAATAAATTATACAAGGAAAAAGTAGAGATTTCAGGCTTCAAAATGAGTTTAGTTTCGTTGTTCCACGATTTTTATTCACGAAGTTACAATATCTTGAATATCGCCGATATTTCGAACGTTAGAAATTTCGTGTGAAGTCTGGAATGAGGTTTCCCATCCACTGTGTCGCAAATAAATTTTGTCAAAGAAATTAACGGACGACGTCCGAAAGTAGACACTTCGTGCTTTAAAATGAGCCAAGTTCCATTGTTGTATGATTTTTTCCCACAAAGTTATAGCTGTTTGAAATATCAACAATTTTTTCGAAAATTTGAAACTTCGGCTCGTTTCTATAGTTATCGATCGTCAACAACAATAAAAATCGTATCTCCTCTTCCCAAATTGTTACAAGCCGAGGGTCAATCAGGGAGAATTTACTGTACATAACTCTATCGATTCTGCACTGTCTTCGGATATACCGTATATACTGTACACGAGAGAAACATAATACCGAAATGCTTCTATCGAAATCGAAAATAAAAGAGTTAATGTCCAAGGTAGAAGTTATAATGGAGTTCTGCAACTTCGACAGATCTACTTGGACGTTTTCTTTCTTTTGACTCGTCGCGGATAATGATACCGTGGAAAATAAACTGTGAACTGTAAATACAAGTTTGTTGAAAAATTCACTGTAGACCTATAGACCTCTCGTAGAAACCGAATGTAAAGCGTTACAAAAATTAATAACAAGTGCTGAAGGCAAATGTGAGAATCGTTTTTCTGAGATTTTGAAATTTTGAAAATAATTAAATTGCATCTCCTGCACTCATAAGATTTCCAGAATGCGAGAGAAATTAAATATATATATAATAA